TTTACTTGTTAATATGTGGAAACGATGTTGTGAAATTGTAAACTTGTAGTTGTGAAATCTAAAAGTGGTACTTGCTGGGACTAAACATTATTTTTGATTCTCCATAGACCACAGTTACAAATTTTAGACTTTTTCTTGTCAATCTATAAACCTATACTTGAGAAATTATGAACTTTTAGTTGCTAAAAATGAAAGTTTTACTTGCTATCAATGAACCTTAGTTTTGAAAATATTAAGTTAAAAATTGTGGACTTTTACTTGTGAAAGGATGAACCTGAAGTTATGAATATTCAAAGTTTAAGCTTTAAATTTTTGAACTCTGTCAATACTTGAATTTTTCAACTCTAAACTTTTGGATTGCTAATTTATGCATGTGCATAGTATAAAATGGCTTTAAACAAACCAAAAAATACATTTTCAATTACAGGATGGCATGAGTTTAGAAGAGAAATCTTTGAGAGTAATAAAGGAAAATACAAAAAAGTAGATGACTCAAATGAAACTTCAACTAAAATGTGAAAAAAATGAGTGAATAGGAGAGGGAGCCGTATAGAATTAAGGCCATTGAAAATAGAGAGGTGATAATACAAAAACCTTTTAACACTCGATGTTCTCCAAAAAAATTCAAAGAAATTGTAGACTTTATAAAAGAGAATGAGCATTTAAAAGAGAAGGTTGAGGCAACTCATTTTCTAAATTGTTAGACATCGAAGGTGTGAAAATTTATGGAGAGCTATGCCAGGAGATAATGCGATCTTATGATCCTTTGATGAAGAAGATGACTATAAGGGGGAAAACTATATTAGTGAGAGCAGGAGATATTTAACAAATTATGGGGCTACCTAATGCTAGAAGGACAATAGATTGAATGATATTAAGGACTTGGTAGCAGACATGAAGAAAAATCACAAAATTATGGAATTAGGTTTTTCTAATTGGATGATGTATATATTTTAATATGATATTTTTAATTTCAAATTGTTTTTTTCTTGGAGTTATGTATATATTTTAGTGAAAATGAAATGCAAAGGTCCATGGATGCATAAAACAGAGTTCATGAATTCTTAACATAGTTTCCATACATGTCCAGTTGATATGTAAGCTTAAGTAAAATGTACAAGTTAAAGTTGCGTAGATGAATAACAAAAAATCCATGAATTTATAAAACACAGTCCATGATTTCTCAACACAGTTTTCATGCGTGTCCAATTGATCTAGTGGACATGCACACAATAAGTGAAATGAACAAGCAAATGATGAACAATAAAATGTTTATGAATGCACAACATAATGTCTATAATAAACAACATACTTTCATTGAATTAGAGCAACAATTACATTAGAATGGATAATTTCATGTTGGTATTGGCCTATTTACTAAAATGAGTACCCTCATAAAATTTTACATTATATTTCATGTCTAATATATACAAAAAGTTTGCAACGATATTCAAAACATGTAAGAGTTGTTTGTCTATATACAAACAAAAAATATCTGATATTCCCTCTTGCTTCTGGCAATTTTCAAAAACTCTAACCTAAATTTTTTTTTCACGTGACGATAACATAAAGCATGCTTGTCATGACCATATATTGCTTGTACAACCCTAATAATTGAATTATGTATGTCAAATACTATTATTATTTCTCATGATTCTATTATCTTCTTAATATTTTGAGGAAACTATGACCACTTATCAGCTGTCTCACCACCTACTATGGTATATATCATAAGAAACATCTAATTATCTACATCATATGCAAATGTCGATAGTAGAGTTTCCTTTTATGGTTTACTCAAGTAAGAACCATTTATATATAGTATAGGCCAAACACCTTGCATAAAACCTTTTATATTATGTTCATATGCAATGAACAAACATTGAAATCTATTGCACAGCCCATCTATCCATTTTGCAATTATGGTTAGATTACTTTTGATTAGCCTTTGACACATTCAAGGAATTAATATATATGACTTGTCTAGCTGACTATGTATTTCAGTTAAAGCTTTCTCTTTGCCTTTATATGCTTAACAATAAATAGGTTTTCAAACCATACTCTTCATACATGTCTTGTCTAATATTATTAGGAGACTTTCCTATAGAAGTCATCAATTCATTAATTATTATGGATAAAGTCAGTGTTGATCTACTGTTATGGGCGACATCAAGATTGTCTTATACAAAATGAACACGTTCATTCTTTAAAGTTCTTATACTTAAGAAAATATTACCTTTTTCACCTTAATTTTATGCTTTAATATATCGTGGACATCCCTCAACTGCATAGTTAGCAATAACTTGATTTGGGTTATTATTCAGAAATTTGTATCCAAACTTGTGTGCTAGACTATACTTGTATAATATCTCCTTAAATGCCATAACATGAGTAAAAGTTTATCCCACTCTAAACAAGTAATTCCTTCTACTTGCTATTGATTTCTGGAATGGGGTAGGAATACATTAGATAGCTAAATTATCTTCTGTAATGGCTATTAGAATGCTTTCTCTAGAGTTAGGTAAGTTGAAGCCTTCTAGATCAATATCTCAATGTTTTAGAGATAGTGAACTTCCATATGAAAATAGTAAAAACTGGTCTATCCTGCATTTACAAATATTGCCACATTATTAGTGCTTTGTATTAATAACTTCTATTTTACACAACTAAACATTCAATATAAACAAGTAAATGTTCATGTTTGCATAACACATAATTCAATGTTTCTAACAAGGCATTTTATGACAAGGAATTACTCAATTAAAATAAATGTCAACACTTACTCTTGAGGATCATCTTCAAGTGCAGCTTTTCTTTCAACATACACACAAGCAGTTCTTCCATTGTGCTCAAACAATTCTTCCACTCTAACATCATCAAGAAGATCTATCAATGTACTTAAATCAATCTCAACTCTGAACTTTATGTCACTTTTATTATCATCATGACAAATTTCTAATGATATAAATGATACTCAACTCTGTATATGTTAATCCTTTTGTTAATGTTCTTGCAATTACATTTTCACCCTCATACTTCATACTACTATCAACATGCTTCAAAAATTCACCATCATAATAGAAGAAACAAAATAATTTCTTTCTAGAACTATTTGACATCTCTTATATTAACATGCAATGAATAAATTAATTTAAGTAAATATCTATATACAGAAACTCAACTTTTATTTTACACAACTTGACATTTAATACAAACAACTCAAAGTTTATTTTTGTACAACAGATACTCCAATGTTTTTGACAATAGATTTTTTTTCATATTGGGAATCATATTTTATTTTATTTACATGTGAAAGTTCAATATGAATAAGTCAACTATTATTATGGCACAACAACTAATCTACTTTAAGGCTTTCACAACTAACTTACATAATTCAACAACTCTCAGCAATAAAATTATAAATAAAATTTTGATTTTAACGACATCATAGTGTAATTTGTACAATAAAAACTCAATCTCACATACACCCTATTACATAACCACTATATATTAATGAGTCAAGATTATCTTTGTTGCCACTTTATCAGCAACTAACATACAATAATAATGCCATTTAAATTGATCATTAAGCTAAATCCTCAACTCATCAAGATAATAACTAGATTTATTTTGTGCACATCAAAGAGTTACTTAGCTCACCAAGTTCTGCCGTTTAACTCTCAACTTTTTTCTATTTTAGCACAAAAATGGTAAACAACAACCTTAATCAAGGCTCAACAATTTTTTTTTTAAATTTAAACACTACTTAGGATGGATAAATTTTTAAATCTACGTGCCTCAAAAGTTATTTCTCACTATTGGAGTTGAAAAACCTTTAACTGCTTTAGATGGAAAACCTTCTTACATTTGTCATCATTCTACCACTTTTAGTTTGTTTCTTTCATTCTGATTAAGGGCAAAATTATCTTTTCTCCTCCAACAAAAATTGTAACAAGGCCCTTTAGACCCATAGTATATTATCATAATTTATTGGGCCTAAAGTGTAATTTTTTATGTTTTGAGGATGCTTAGTGTGATTCTCCTAATTAAATAAGTACTACTTAGGGATTAGTTTAATATTTTTTTATATGTGGATAGATTAATTCATTACTTCAAAAAATTACATATAGTTTATGTGGAGTTGATTTATTTATAAATAAGTCTTGCAAAATTTAAAAATCACAACTAGATTCCTTAAAACTTGAATGTAATTTAAAATTAAGGTAAAAAAACAATAATGCCCTTATGTCAAATAATTTACAAATACATCATTAGCATTTTACAACTATAACTTTAACTTTTTACAACTGTAATTTTATATATTCAATAATTAAATTGATCAATTTAATTATTGGATATGTAAAGTTATAATTGTAAAAAGTTAAAGTTAAAGTTATAAATTATTTGTGAAGTGGTTGTAAATAATTAATGTTAAACTTTGTTTGTAATACATAATTATTTAACTATTGGATATGTGAAAATACAGTTGTAAAAAGTTAAAATTATATTATAAATTGCTGATGAAGTAGTTGAAAATAAATTATAGGGGCATTATTGTCTTTACAGTGCTATTTTAAATTATACTCAAGTCCCAAAAATACTAACTATAGTTTTGAATTTTATGAGACTTACTTATGAATAAGTCTACTATACAAAATCTATACTCTCTTTGTTAAAAAATTTAAGAAATTTTTAACTAAATTTTACCTTCAAAAAAGTAGTTATTTATTTTAAACTAATATTTTTTTTAATATTTATTCTTATTAAACACTTTATAATAAATATAAAATCACTAGGGCCACTTTTGAAAAAAAAGTAATGATTACATTTTAAAAAATTAAAAATATTTTATATTTTTAAATATTTAACTTTTTAAAAAATATTTTATATTTTTAAATGGAGGGAGTATGTAATTTTTTATTTTTTATAATGAATAACTAATAAAGACGAAAAAAAAAAATGAAAAGGTTCATCTGAAGTCATCAGCCATCACTAACATAAAGCATGATTGCGCACAGCGTCATGGAGTTCTCAACAGTTTCCCAGAACATAGGCTCAACTATCTTAGATTGTGCTCCTCGTGTTTAGCAAGGTAGTCCAAAATTGAAGTCAGTGCATCAGCCATTGACATCTTCATTCTACCCAGAAAAAAGGCCTCAATAATTTACTTTCACTATACTCGTATTTTTGTAATACACTCCGAAAGTCTTGGCACGCTATGGGTTGCTCTTCATCCCTTCCGGGTAAATTTCTAGTTTATTTTTTATATCCATGCATCTGAATCTATTTGATCATCTCATCCATATTTTTTCCTTCCTGCAAATGGACGAAATTGTCCTGTAATTTTTGAAATTTGATTGTTGAGCTGAACAACTGTGATTCTGTTTGATTGTGAGTTCGAATTCTGATTTTGTGGTTTTCGTTTGATAGGGTTTGGCCCTTTGTGCTTTGGTTATTAATCTAAAGCTATTGTCGATTTGTGGGTTTGGTTGAACATTGGGTATGTTGATTCTTTGTTTCCAGAGAGGAATTCTAATCAATTGGGTCGAGCGAATTCGGAGAATGGTGGAGGGCAGGACGCCAAGAATCTACGTGTGAAGGTACTTAATGGGCAAAGTTTTTTGCTAGCTTACATTTTCACGATCGTGGACACGTGGCTTCTTCAAAGAGGTTTTATCCTCTCGTCTTTTGTAATTTAAAATTCATTGTTGACTGAGGAGGTCAAACAGAGGAGAGAAATAATGATGATCTATTGATCTTCTGTGCTTAATTGGGAAATATGAATATCTTGGCTTTTCATTCTGTTAGTTCTGATTAATTAGAATTATTTCAGTCTTGACAATTATCTATTGAGTATCGATGTTTGTACAATAGCTTGTCCAGTACTGTTTGAAACATAATCTTTTAGGGAAGAATCCATTTTTGGGGTAGTAGCTCAGTTTTGATCTGGAATGGGGTTTCAACCATTTATTTCCCAAGATTTAAAAAGGGGGAAAAAAGAATACTGAAAGGAAATGGCAATTGCGTCATCATTGTTCATTTCAGTCCTTTTGAAGTAAAGTGGAATATTTTGTACGCTTTCTTTACTGACTCCAACCTGCTCTGTTTGGATTTAAGAATGTATGTGGCCTTTGAAAAATAAAATACGGAAATTTGATAGCTGATGAAAATCAATTGTTCCTTGTTACTTTTGTAACTTAATTTCTGCCTGAAACTATAAAGGCATGTTAGTGCTTGGTTATGTACAAGTGCCGAGCTGCTGGCTGCATGCTTCTAAATCTTTAATAATTATTAAGAAAGAGAGGTGCAAGGGTTTCATAACCACATACATTGTATGGTGCTTAGAAGTCTCTGCATATGGTATGTTTAACCATACATCAATTCCTTGATTCCTTTGTATTGTAAGCAATTCCTACTAAATTACCTATCTAAATTGTGTACTAGCCGATTTAACAATGTTTAACCTTCCTAGGACCCAACAACTAACCTTTAATGTCACTGAATACAGCTTGTTCTGCTAGGTGATTCTGGTGTTGGTAAAAGCTGTATTGTCCTTAGGTTTGTCCGTGGCCAGTTTGATCCGACATCCAAGGTAAGGGATAGTTTAATCATCTTGCTGCACTTTTTTTTTTGGTCATTTTGAATGATATGAAGTAATTTTTTGCCTTGCTTTATAAGGTTACGTTGGTTCATTTGTATGGAGATTTGCACATTTTGTCTTTTTTATGTCAGGTAACTGTTGGAGCTTCATTTTTGTCACAAACAATAGCTTTGCAAGACTCTACCACAGTCAAGTTTGAAATATGGGACACTGCAGGTCAAGAAAGGTTTTTTCGTTTAAACTATACCCTCCTTTCTCATTTCAATGACAGGGAGAAATGGAGTTGCTTAAAACTGTCTTGCTCAGGTATGCCTCACTGGCACCATTGTATTATAGAGGTGCAGCAGTTGCTGTTGTTGTTTATGACATAACCAGTCCAGAATCATTCGACAAAGCACAGTACTGGGTTAAGGTAGAATTTCAGCTATTACGTGGTGTTTATATCATTATTTAATTTGCTAGCTGTGATTTCTTTGCTAGGGCGAAGGTTTACTTGTTTGTAGTCTGGGCATTGGAAGCATTCAACATAATATAGAGTACAACTATTTATCTTGCCTGGTTTCTAATTATCTTAAATGGAATAAAGTTAGTCACTGAATGGACGCAAGTGTTTGCTTGTACCTGACTATTTAAAAACCTATTAAGGGGTTTGATTGCAATGAACCAAATAAGAAAAGAATCTGACAGTTCTGTCTCTAACCATTTTGGGTTATAATTAGTGCTGAGAAGGGGGATGGAATGTGTAGGCCTTGACTGCCTGCTTATGGTGTAATTAAAACAATTAATTCAGTGGGATATGGCATGTGAAAAAGAACCAGAACAAGCTTAGTGAAACAATCATGTTTGATTTAGGAGTTTGGTGTGTGGACCGTGGAATACTAGTGGAGGCTGAAACGAACTTTGCAATAGCCATAGAAAGAGATTAGAAACAGTGGAAAATAGTTAACCTAATGCAGGTTTATATGAGCATAAATTATGGCAGTCAGTTACAATACAATAAACTGATGATAACTTGATGCAGAGGGCCAATGAATATGTAAAAAAAAAAAAAAATACTAGCTAGATCTGTTTTATTGTCCACTTTATGCTTATTATTTAGCAAAGTGAAACAGTGCTACTTTTTTTCTTTTTTCCTGCGCCCGTTTGTTCTGTAATCATTTACCAACCCCTTACAGAGATTAAAAAAACCTCTGTTTCTTACCTCTTGACATTAGAGTGCCTCGTTGACCTTTGTGGGTCATTATGGGCGATGGTGGTACCAAAGGAATAAAAACTGATAATTTGATTTAAGGAACTTGCAACAATTGTGAATATTCAATGTGCTTTCAATGCTCACTGTTACACACCGTGCCTGTTTGACCTTGCTATGAATATTTTTCTCAAGAGGATCACCTATGTAAAAACCTGTTTTGCAATGTTCAAAACGAGGAATAAAACAATTTAGCTACTTGCCATTATTGATTTCTTCTGTCAGTATAAGATTCAAATTCTAGTTTCTCATCCTCATCAAAGAATTTGGGGAAAAAAGGTTCTGCTGCTTCATCAAAAATGATTTTTCTTATTGTCCAAATACAGCCACAATTACCAAATTAGTTTTTACATTTATTAAATAAGTGCTTGTTTGTGCAGCAGCACATCATTCCCAAACAGTCCGGAGTTCCCACTTTTTCTGTGAAAATATTATTACTTTGATATTTTAAGCAGATGATAATATATTAACCACTTGTAGGAGTTACAAAAGCATGGAAGCTCCGACATAGTTTTGGCCTTAGTGGGTAATAAAGCTGATCTTCATGAGCAGCGAGAAGTGCCTGTTCAGGTGGTGCAGTGTCTTCTCAATATTTTGACTTTTTGAATGAGGAAAGCAAACACTTGTCATCTCATATATTATGCTTATATATATTTTTGACAAAGGACGGCATTGAGTATGCGGAGAAGAATGGAATGTTCTTTATCGAGACCTCTGCGAAGACAGCAGATAATATAAATGAATTGTTTGAGGTACTGTTGACATTTATCTGCTTCCGATTAAAGTTCAATTTCAAAATGAATTGTGAAGTATGATGGCAAGGATGCGAATCAGAATGTTGTAAAAAACAATGCTATGTTCCCACCCCCTTCATATATCACCGTTAAAATTATTAAGAACTGTATTAATGACTTCTTTGTTTGCATCAGAACATTTGTTGTAAGACTGTCAATAATTGTATGGTCGAGGATTATCAAGCGTTTATTTTGCTTGAGAAGAATGGAGGGAAAGAGAAGGGAAAGGAAACTTTGATTCTAAACATTTTTCTCGATTTATATTTAACATAATTAAATCTAACATTTTTTTCTTGTATATAAAAAATATTAGTTTTTTAGAATCAAAGGAAATGTTTAGAATTAATTGTTTCCCCTTCCATTTCCTTTTCCATGAGCCAAAAATTATCTAATGCTTCAATGAAATGAGTCTCCAAAACTGATGAATTTGGAAATTCCAACTTGCTTTTGAAAACTAACTAGTTGCTCCTTTCTTACAGGAAATTGCCAAAAGACTGCCTCGTCCATCCACTAATTGAATTACCCGGAACTGTACTGAAAGACATGCTTTGTCTTTGGGACCTTCTAAGTTCAATAATATGAGTTGTGTAAAGTATGATTATGCTCTTCTCTGGTTTCATATACATTGTGTTGAGTTCAGTTAAAGCAGTACGATCACGAACAAATTATACATTAGATTGTAGTACGCTGAATCTCGTGAGACCCTCAAATGTTTTTTTTTTTTTTTAAGGTGCTGAGATTGTAAAAGTGGGGCACAATATAGCAGTTACGTGAGAAAATAATACAAGATTTTTGTCATGCTCGGCTTTAGCCCCCCTCCGTTTGTTGAATATTTCTTTTTTTGGTAAAATTGGTTTCCTGAATATTTCATGCACTGATAGAGATGAACTCCGAAGAGCGTATAAAGGAAATTTAAGTCGAACAAGTACAAGAGCTTGACAGTTTTTATTGGCGTATGAAGGAACAACTTGCACATTGGTTTGGCCATCAGAAGATGTGGTTTCTAATTTCTAAAGGAAATCTTTCACCTTTTTAAAGGTGCTTTGTTGTTTTTTCTTCATCCTATAGCGACTAAATTATTAACTTTCCTTATGACAAAGGACTTTCATTTCAACAAGCAAACTACATGGTTGGGCTGGCCCGCTGGCTTCTTAAAAAGTCATTTAAAGAAAGAAAGAAAGATAAAGACAAAAAAACAAAGCATCTTCTAAAAAGAGACAAACAAAGAAAGCACCTTTTAAAAATTAAGTTGCAATATTGAGTCAATTAAAATTCATTTTCTGAATTCTAATTCATCACAACTTAATTTTTATATTCTCTCCATTTAAAAATATAACGTATTTTTAACTCAATCTCACCTTCAATAAAATAATTTTTTACTCTCAAACTAATCTTATTTTTTTATATTTATTCCTATTAAACACCCTACAATAAATATAAAGTCATTTATCAATAGAGGACACTTTTGAAAAAAAGATAATGATTACATCTTAAAAGACTAAAAATGTCTTATATTTTTGAACATTCAACTCTTCAAAAAATATCTTATATTTTTAAATGGAGAGAGTAATTTTTATGGTTTTGATTCAATTGTAATTCATTTTTTAAACATTAACTCTCTACAATTCAATTTTTATAGTTTTAATTATTTAAAATATTGGTATCTATATTTTAAGAAAATAAAATTATAACTACTAAAGTTATTTCTTGAAACTTAGGGGCTAATATTTTAAATTGCTAAAATTATAAAGATTGAGTTATATTAAGTTAAAATTTAGAGAGTAAATTTCGATTACGTTAAAATTATAAAAATTGAGTTATATCAAGCTAAAATTTATAAATTGAGTTATTTTTTATTCTATTGTCCAATATCATGAGAAATTGAGCTGGGGAATATTACTACTACTCACTCAGACTAATTTGAACCCTTGTGTAGGAACATTATAATTAATAATGATCTCAGGGGATGCATTTGTCATTTTTATTATATTGTGGCTACAAATTTCAAGGACTTAAATTCAAAATCTCAAGATAAGCTAATTTGACTTTTTTAATCAATTGAACCAAATGCCTTTCGATTTAGGATTGAGTTATAACCAAACTAAAATTATAGAAACAAAGATGATTAATTTTTCCTTTATTTTTTAAGAAAGATGCTTTTGTTTTTTTTTTTCAGAGAGAATTACATGTTGGAACTACTCAAGAAAATTACCCACAGATAAGGATCAATATAAAATAAATTGTTGTTAAAATACAAATATATTTTATTATTTTTCAAATGGGACTTCTTCTTAGTTGAATAATTTCTTTGAGTGATCCTTAGATTTACATCTCCCTTTTTTATAAGCTACAGACTTGGTGTAAATTGTAATCAAGGCATGGTACTATTCTACTAGTTTTTTATAGGCCCCCTCCATCTTCATCCCAAGTTTTCTTTAGAAGTTTCCAAGTCCTTGATACATGCTATAGTCGTCTGCAGGTTGTCTAAGGCATTAATTGTTTTTTCTTGAATATCTTTATTTGCAGAACTCATCAACAATATGTACAAAGAGGACATATTTAAATGGAAAGTAATTTTGAAAACTAATTCAATTCAAATTATTCATAATTGATAAATTTATTACGTGTAAAGCAGTTAAATGATTAAATCACCATGCAATCAACACGAAGTTGATAGGAGCATGCTGGTTAGTGATATACAGCTATGCAAACTATCACAGCCGTGGTCAACCCTTGGGTCGTCTTCTCACAATTAACAAGTGAATCGCTCACAGATTCGTATTGATCATGCTGTTCTCTTCTGCTTCTTGCTAGGCTCTCACAATTATCCTTCCATTCCATGGCCATAGAACTTGTGGGCGGGCCTTTCATGGGCGCCATGTTCAATGTACTGCTTGAAAGGGTAGCTTCTTCCGAAATAGTTGACTCCTTCAGGAAGAATAGCTCTGTCAAGTTGCTCAGAAGGTTGAAGATAACCTTGTTGTCTGTTAATGCTGTGCTAAATGATGCGGAAGAGAAGCAAGTGAGAAATTCATCTGTGAAGGAGTGGCTCGATGAGCTTAAGGACGTCGCTTTTGATGCTGATGATCTCCTGGATGAGATCTACACTGACGCAAAATCCAATGGGAACGAGGTAAAAACTCTAGAGTCCACTACTCCGATGAAATTTTTCGATAGAATAGAGTTAGAACGGAAACTGGAAGACGTTATTGAAAGATTAGAATTCATCATTAAACAGCAAGATGCCATGGATTTAAAATCGGGTGGAGAAGTCAAAAGGGCACAGAAGATTCCGACTTCGTCTGTAATAGAGGCGTGTGATGTGTACGGAAGGGACAATGATAAAGACATGTTAGTTAATTTGCTGTTGTCACATGATGCTGATGATGAAAATGTAGGTGTCATTCCCATAGTGGGAATGGGGGGAGTTGGGAAAACCACTTTAGCTCAACTTATTTACAATGATGATAGAGTACAGAGGGAATTTGACCTCAAAGTCTGGATTTATGTGTCTGAAGAATTTGACATCTGCAAGATTACCAAAAACCTTTTGGAGGCTGTCACTTGTAGTAGTTGCGATGTTGAAGATTTGAATTTACTCCACCGCAGTCTAAAAAGCTTGTTGATGAAGAAAAAGTTTCTGTTTGTGTTTGATGATGTTTGGAATGAGAATTATGATAAATGGGACAAGTTGAGGAGTCCATTTAAACAAGCGGGGGCTCAAGGAAGTCAGATTATTGTAACTACACGAAGTAGTTATGTTGCATCCATCATGCAAACTGTTCCGGCTTATAATCTCAGTGAGTTGTCAAATGACGATTCTTGGCATCTTTTTGCAAAACATGCATTTGGTTATAGAGATTCAAATATCAATCATGGTGTGGAGAAAGTAGGTAAAGAAATAGTTAGGAAGTGCAAAGGATTGCCTTTGGCCGTGAAGACACTTGCAGGGCTTTTGAGGGCTAAAAGCGAGAAGCAGGAATGGTTGAAAGTATTAAGTAGTGAGATATGGGATTTGCAAGATCATGAGAGCAACATTCTTCCAGCTTTGAGATTAAGTTATCATTATCTCCCTGCACATTTGAAAAGATGTTTTGCTTACTGTTCAATTTTCCCAAAAGATTTCGAATTTGAGAAGGAGACATTAACTTTGTTGTGGATGGCAGAAGGTCTGCTGAAGCAATCAAACCGACATGAAAGGATTGAAGAAGCTGGATATGAATACTTTTGTGAATTAGCAGCTAGATCATTTTTTCAGCAATCAAGACGTGATAAGACATGTTTTGTAATGCATCATCTGGTGAACGATTTAGCTAAATTTGCATCAGGAACCTTTTCTGTCAGAATCGAAGGCAACAATTCTGATGCAATTGGAGAAAGAACTCGTCATTTGTCACATATTATCGCAGATAGTTCCTCCTATCTAAACATGAATGATGTTTGCAAAGCAAATCGTCTTCGCACATTTCTGCAAATACAGTTGTTTTCCACATCCATTGACTCACTCCACAACATGTCAAATGATTTGCTGATGAAGTTAAGGCGCTTAAGGGTGCTAACCTTGGTTGGTGTGTATTTGTACAATTTGCCTGGTTCAATTGGTGAACTAAAACATCTTCGCTATCTAGAAGTGTCTGACACCAATATTTCCAGGTTACCAAAATCCATCTGCAGCTTGTACAACTTACAAACACTGAAGTTAATTGGATGCTACAGTCTCAAGGAACTGCCTGAAAGATTGCATGATCTTGTTAACTTGCGTTACTTGGATATTAGTGGCGCTTGGTTGAAATGGATGCCATTGCAAATGAGCAACTTAAGAAGCCTCCAAAAGTTGAGTGACTTCTTTCTAGGAAAAAAATATGGATCTTTGATTGGTGAATTGGGAGAACTAAATGATTTGCATGGATCATTGTTCATTCATGGCTTAGAACATATTATTGACCACACGGATTCTGAAAAAGCGAAGTTGAAGGAAAAGAATTATCTTGACAAATTATCTTTGGATTGGTGTGGGAGTGGTGATACTGATGATTCACAGCTTGAGAAAAAAATACTGGCCAGCCTACAACCACATACAAATTTGAAGGAGCTTGTTATCCATGGCTATCCCGGCACAGAATTTCCCAAATGGTTGGGGGACAATTCCTTCTTCAACTTGGTGTCTTTACAACTCAAGGGGTGTAAATATTGCTGTAAGTTGCCTGCACTTGGACAGCTCCGGTCATTGAAAGAGCTTCGAATCAGTAGATTTGATGGATTAGTCAGCATTGACTCTGAGTTTTTTGGCAATGAAACTCGTTATTCTGCTGCAACTAAAAGCTTCCCTGCACTTGAGATTCTTAGATTTGAGCATATGGCTGCATGGGAGAAATGGAGTAGTCCTGATGCTGACACAGGCTGCAAGGCTTTCTGTCAACTTCGAGAACTTCATATCGAGAGCTGCACCAAGCTGACAGGGGATTTACCTAGTAACCTTCCATCTTTGAAGCTACTCATAATCACAGACTGCAATCAGCTCCTTTGTTCACTTCCCATTTCTCTTGATTTGCGTGTGTTGAACATTCAGAACTGTGAGAATTTAGAATTCCCAGTACATGGTCCTCAACGCTACCAGTTTCTCACATCCATGTACTTACATGATAGCTTTGATTCACTCAAGTTCTTGCCATTAGATCTCTTCCCCAACCTCAAGTCTCTAGACATCAGGGGTTGTAAAAACCTGCAAGCTCTTACAGTTTCTGATTCAGATGTACCTCCTCCAAATCTTTCATCACTCAGATCCTTAAGCATAAAACACTGTCCAAAATTTGCATCTTTTACCAAGGGAGGAATTGCAGCACCGAAACTCACTTTGTTGACAATCAACTTCTGCGAGAAGTTGAAGTCTCTACCTGAACAAATGCACGTTCTTATGCCAAGTTTGAAGGAAGTCCAGATTCGACATTGTCCACAAATGGAGTCATCTTCTGTAAGACCACTCAGGATTCGGATTTGTGATAAATTGAGAGAGGAGAAACAAAATCTATCTGATCCTGTATTTGCTAGGTTCGAGGGACCTTCCTCTATTTGTAGCCCCTCATCAAGGTAGACAACTCGTAAGACTCAAAGCTTTCTCTGGTAAGCCATGCAGCTAACATATATGAACCTATAATATAATTGGCATGTAATGTTTTGATGTGCTGTCATTGCTCCCCTGCTGCTATGTAAATCGTCTTTGTCATTTGGTGGCTTTTAAATTTATAGTTTTTCCATGACGTGATGATATCATTTTTCTTTTCAAGAAGCTGATTTTTTTGTTTTTTGTTTTGCCCTTCCCATGAACAAAATAACGTTTTGTTATGATCATGTTGTTGCAAATCGCGAGTAGAATTTCAGTCTAAGTCATGCTAAGGACACTGTCATTAAGAATTATCTCGCTACATGTCACCGCTTCTTAGAATTAAACAAATTCATCTTGCAGAGAGCAACAGGGGCATAGAACAACAAAGAGCAACAAAATAATATACCCAAACAACATTGACAGAGGAGGAGGGAAGAAGAGGCTTGAAAGCTCAAGAGCTGGGTACTATGTACATTGATGCTTCAGTATATAATGCACACGCCTAGATGAACATTGGACACTCATCAACACATTGGTTTCAAAGAATAAAATACCATAAAGTTTTAGTTACAGAATGCTGGACTAATAAAATCTATTTAAGGCTTCAGTTACTGGACGCTGGATTAAAGAAATCCGTTTAAAGGTTAAAAGGAAATTAATCTCATTTAAAATCACCCTTTCTAAAACCCTTGAAATTCAAAATTCAAAAGATCAAAAACCAAGAACTACAGAAAAATAAATTAAGAAAAGAACCAAGTAACTCTTGAACTAATGCACGGGGGGCAAATCAACTTGTTTTCAACTGCAATTGCTTTATGTAGGCTTGTCTTATACGCACGAGCCCACTTCTTCAAACCCTTTATTAACCCACTTTCATTTCTTAGTATATATTCCTTTTGATCTTATTTATAAGACATTTTTAGAAGTAATGTTTGGTTCAAAATATAGGATACCTTATAATAATTAAATTACTTTTTTTAATTTTACCCCTTCTTGATTAGGATAAAAGTATTTAAGTAGTTGTATTATTATTTAAAGCTAAAAGTAAAAATGAAAGTATTTTTTATTATTTTTTATAATATTGAAAAAAATTTTAACTTTTTTTTAAATGCATGAAATAGTTAAAAATATCCTATAATAAACATTGGAAGAAGTATACATTAAAAACTCTTCTCATACACGCAATGTGAGACTTTTCTCATTGACATGCTTACTCTATAATTACAACACATGCAGCATGCTTTATTTGTTTCTATGGAAGTTGGCATTAATTATGGTGAAGAATAGACTTTTTTTTTTGAGATAATTGCAAATATAACGAAAATTAGGAACCCACGACGGATGCAATTGTTTGATAACAAGTTTTTTTTTTTCTTTTAATTGATGATAAGGTTGCTAGTGACGTGATTTAAACCCATTTTTTTATATAATAAGAATCCACTGTCAACTGGATTGACTTTTATTGGGAGATGTGATTATTTAATTTAAAAATTAAAATTTTTTTCCTCAATGAAAATTGTCATAAGGATCACCAATAATATTTTATAAGCATATAATTCTTCTATCTAGCTTAATATTTTTATTGAAGCATTAATTTATTGTATTAATAGTGTTCACCATATCTTCAATTTTGAAAATAATTCAATATCATTAATATCAAAATATTCATTAAGATTAATTTTTTTCAAAATTAAAACAATATGGTCAAAATTTTAATTTTGATTTAATGTACTAGTTTATATCAAGGGTTAAAGGTCATTTTTATCCTTAAATTTACACAAAAGTTACAAATAATTTTAAACTCAATTATAAGTCAACTCTTTCCCTTAATTTTAAAGATTCCGTCAATTATTATTTTGACGTTAAAAATACTTAATGTCTATTAATTATCAATGAGTCTCACTATTTTTAATATTTTTTATTAGGTTAAAGGTCATTTTGCACCTCAATTCAAATATTTTACAATAAAAAACATTAAAAAATATAATATGGGATCTACTAACGATGAGAAAATGGTAAGATGATGAGGAAAAAATTTTTAAAGTTAAAAGATAGAATGAACCCATAATTAAGTTTAGGATCATTTGTAATCTTTCGTAAGCATTTTAAAAATGAAAATGAACATTAACCTTATATCTACTAATGGTCTATTGTTATGTCCTACTGTTTGGGATAACTATGTTTATTATCACTGTCATCATTATTGCAATTCCATGGCTACATTTGGTTAAAATAATGTTTGTCGAAGAAATGGAATGGGAAAAAATGAGATGAAAGGAAAAGCAACAACAATTGTCATGTTTGGTGCATGTTGAAAAGTAAGATAGTTTGATGGGTAAATTTATATTTGGTTGGATGAAATTTGTGATGGGGAGAAAATAGATTAAATGACTGTAATGCTGCTAGTATAATAATAATGAAATATATTAAAATAAGTATATTTGAAAGCATAATTAATAAAACAAAATAACTAATTAATTAATAAAAATGTGCTAAAATATTCATTTGTTGTTATGGAAAACAATTAATAAAATAGGTAATGTTGGTTTTAAATTACAAAAAATAATTAAATAAATTTTAATTTGAAAATTCTATTCAGGAGAATGACAAAGTTTTGTAGTAATTGTGTATGTGTGTCAAAAGAAGCTTCACATTGCCTAAATGAAGAGAGCTTCTAGTGTATAAGTAGTAAGGAATGAAATATGCTAGTAAAATGAGTTTGGAGAAGTGGGCTCGCGCACACGAAACAAGCCAACTTAGGGCAATCATAATTGAAAACAGTTGATTTGCCCCATATGCACGAGTTCAAGAGGTATTGGGTTCCTTTTACATGATTATTTTTATGAAAAAATAAATAAATATTTATTTATATTAGCTTACCAAAAAACCCTATTTTTATTTATTTAGAGTTTGAATTCAAACCTTAAACATTTTTTTGCTTTAACTGAGTTCTTAAACAAATTAATCAATTTCTTAAAGGTGTCTGTTCCCCCAACAGCTCCAGACAATTGTTTAAATGTGTTTTATGTGTGTGCAATAAAGGTTTGATGGTGGATTAATCCGAAGATTAAAAATCCAACATTCATGTCCAGGATTTTGGCCTATATATGGGCATGCATGCAGACTGAATTGGTTGCTTGGCTCTTGAATTTTTGAGCCCTTCTTTCCTCCTCCAACTTCTATTCTATGCTGCTTCGTCTGGGTTATATTGTTGGTATTTGCTTTTTTGTTTCCTTATGTTTTATAAGACGTGCTTGTTTAATCCTAGGGAACTGCGGGTCCTCTGTATCAGTGTGCCTAAATAGTTCTTAAGGACAATGTCTTCTAACATAACTTAAGCAACTTCCAATTTCCTGAATCTACTACTAACAATCTTAAGAACTAAATGGTGTCCAATGCTAAGAATGGCATCCGAGGATGTGCCTAGTGGTTCTAATAGAGATCAGTTCATCCCAACTGCTGTTGTCATCCCCTTAGTAAGGCCATTCTTGGATATTTCAAAGATAGAAGTCTTTGATGGCAAGAATTTTAAATGCTGGCAGGAATGAGTCTTTACCACTCTTGACATGTATGGTGTAACTGTTGCTCTTACTCAACCTAAGCCTGCTGCTAATGCTGACTAAGCCCAAAGAGTTGTTTAGACTCATGCAAATAAGGTATGCAAATATACTATCATTAGTACTTTATCTAATAATCTGTTTAATGTCTATTGCATCTACAGGGAAGCCTGTAAGATATGGGAGTCCCTAATGATAAAGTACATTGTTGAGGATGTTGGAAAGCAAAAGTTCGTTATGGAAAACTACTATAGATAGGAAATGATCAAGAATAAAGATGTGAAGGAGCAGATTAATAAGTATCATAAGTTGCTAGAGGAGCTTCGTGCTAAAAGCATCAACCTCCTAAACGAGTTCATTACTGAAATCCTGATTGAGAAGCTGCCAAAATTTGAATGATTGCAAACAACAGCTAAAACATAAACAAAAGCAATTATTTTTGACTGACCTGATCACTCACATCATAATCGAAGACACCAACTGTAAGGCAGTGCGTGCAATTTGAACCAAAGAAATGACATCCAAAGCCAGTTTGGTGGAAAAAAGCCTCACAACAAGAGGTATGACCCTAAAACTAAAGATAACAAAAATAATAGAAAATCTGATAACAAACCCAATGCTTCTAACTCCTCTTTCAAGAAAAAAGGAGATTGTTTTGTTTATAATAAACTAGGACACTATGTAGCACAATATAGGAAGAAAGCAAATTGTGATAAACCTCAAAAGCCAAATGTAAATTTGGTACAATGAGATGATGACAATGACGATGATATCATTACTGCAGTGGTATCTCAAGCTCTCTTAATTTCTAATATGAACAAATGGGTAGTAGACTCTGGGGCTACTAGGCACATATGTGCTAACTGGAAGATATTTATCTCCTATGATCCTGTAAATGAAAGGGAAGACCATATTTATCTCGCTGATTCTCAAACTGTCAAAGTTCAAGGAAAGGAAAAGTGGTCTTAAAATTCATATCAAGAAAGACTTTAGCTCTAAATGATATTCTGCATGTGCCTGAAGTTAGAGCAAATTTATTGTTAGTTGTTTTATAGGAAAAGCTGGATTTAAAGTGTCATTTGAATTTGACAAGATTATAATGATAAAGAATAATGTATTTGTAGGGAAAGAATATTGTAATCTAGGACTGTTTGTTTTAAATGTTGAAATGAATAATATTGCATCTTTTGAGTTTATGCTTGTTTATATGATTGATTCCTTTGATTTATGGCATGCTAGATTAGATTATGCTAGTAAAGGTTATATAAATAGAATGTGACAACTTGAACTTCTTTCTGAAATTAAAAACAATAATTTTGGAAAAAGTGAAATGTGTGCTGAAACCAAACAAAATAAAAAAACTTTATTTTTCTAGTTAAAGAAAATTTGAATTAGTGTATTTAATTTACACTAATTTAGGTGATTTAAAACAAACGATGACTTGATGTGGTAAAAAATATTATATCACTTTTATTGATGACTTTTCAAGATATACTAAGGTATACTTATTAAGAAATAAAGATGAGGTTTTTAAAAAATTTCTTTCATACAAAGCAGAAGTTGAGAATTAATTAAATAAAAAGATTAAAAGAGTTAGATCTAATAAAAGTGGAGAATATGTTTTAAACAATTTTTGTGGAAAAGAAGGTACTATTCATGAGAAAACACCTCCTTATTCTCCTGAGTCTAATGATATTGTAAAAAGGAAAAATGGAACATTAAAAAAGATTATGAATGCTTTGCTTATAAGTTATTCTATGCCTAATAACTTATGGGGTTAAGCTATTTTGTCTGCATGTTTTCTACAAAGCAGAATACCTCATAAGAAAACAAAGAAAACACCTTACGAATTGTAGAAAGGGTTTACCTCAAATTTAAAATATTTAAAAGTGTGGGGTTGTCTTACAAAAGTTTTATTTTCTAATCTTAAAAAGATAAAAGTTGATTCTAAAACTTCTAATTGCAAGTTTATAGCTAAATAAAGTGCAACTTATCAATTTTTAGTTTTGAAAAGTGATATTTTAGATTAAAACACAATTGTTAAGACTAAGGATACTTTTTTGACCATTTTTTTCCTTAAAAATTGAGCGTGTTTCTAAACTTGCTGAGAATTTTGAGGTTGAATAAAATTCGAATGAAGATTTGGTTTTAAGGAGAAGTAAAAGGCAAAGAAAAAAAAATAAGTTTTGGAAATGATTTCTATACTTATTTGGTGCAAGATGAACTATTAAATTTTAATGAAACTGTTTTTTCTTCTGATGCTAAGTTTTGAAAAGAAGCAATTGGAATTGAAATTAATTCCTTAAAGAAAAATAAAACTTAGGTTTTAGCAAATTTTCCTCAAAGAGTTAAGGCTATTTGGTGTAAATGAATTTTTAAGAAAAAATATTCTCCAAATAGTTCAATTAATAAATATAAAGCAAGGCTTGTGGCCTAGGGTTTTACTCAAAAGAAAAATATTGATTATTTTGATATCTTTTCTCCTATGACTAGAATTTTTTCTATAAAAATTCTTATTGCTTTAGCTTCAATTAATAAGTTTTTTGTTTACCAATGGATGTTAAAATAGTATTTTTAAATGGTGATTTGAAAGAAGATATTTATATGGTGCAGCCTGAAGGATGTATGATTCTTAGGCAAGAAAATAAAGTTTGTAAATTTCTCAAGTCTTTCTATGGCTTAAAACAAGCACTTAAGTAATGACATGAAAAACTTGATCAAGTTTTGACAAATGGTGAATTTTTTATTGTTGAAGTAGAAAGATGTATTGATACAAAATTTATGAATAATGATTGTGTGATTATATGCTTATGTGTGGATGACGTGCTAATTTTTGGCTCTAGTATGTATATTGTTAATGAAACCAAAAAAATTTCTTTCTTTAAAATTTGATATGAAAGATATAGGTAAAGCCAAGATAATCTTGGGCGTGAAGATCATAAGGAATGGTAATAGAATTTTACTTTTTCAAGAATACTATGTTGAGAAAATTCTTAGAAAGTTTGGACACCTTGAAGATACTCCTTTAAATACTTCTTATGATTCCAGTGTGCAATTAAAAAAGCGCAAGGGTGACCCAATTGCTTAATTTGAGTATGCACAAATTATTGGGAGTTTGTTGCATTTGATAAATTTTACCAAGCTTGATATAGCTTATGCTGTAGGTAGATTGAGTAGATATACCCACTATTCAGGTAGTAAACACTGAGAGGCTCTAGTGAGAATCTTGAGATATTTAAGAGGTACAATGAATTATGGTATATTGTATAGTAGATTTTCTGCTATATTGGAAATACAGTTATGCTAATTCAATCTCAGATTCAAGAGATAAAATCCACTAGTGATTATATATTCACTCTTGATGGTAGTGTAATAACCTAGAAGTCTGCAAAATAGACAATTAACCATAAAATCCCAAGGGATTTTGAATTTATTGCCATGGAGTTGGCTGAAATTGAAGCTGAGTGGTTGAAAAACTTCTTAGTGAGTATTTCCAATAGGTGAAAAGCCAGCGTCATCAATATCTTTACATTGTGATAGCCAATCTATAATAGCAATAGCTAAAAATAAGACCTTTAATGGCAGAATCAGACATATTTGATTGAGATATAATATTATAAGGCAACAGCTCAAAGATGAGGTCATTTCAATTGGTTATGTAAGATCAGAGTTAAATCTGGTGGATTCATTAACTAAGCCTTTATGAAAGAAATTTATTATTGAAATGTCAACAGGAGTGGGCCTTAAACTTGTTTGAAATTAACAGTGATGGCAACTCAACCTTTGTGATTAGAGATCTCATAAAAAAGGTTCAATAGCTCAGAAAAAGTCACTTGTTAGTTATGTTAGCATTGAATTTTTATCTTTTCTTATGGCTCTAAGAAAGTGCTAAAAAGCATTGAACAAAGGATGAGCTGAAGCTCTTAATATTTTTATAATCCTTATGGATGGTGTATTTATTGCAGATACACTTGATGAAAAAACCTATACAAATGTAAAGCGGGGCCGTTCCTATGAGATCAAGGCAAAATCTTTAGAGCATTTATTAAAATCAGGCGCATGCATGGCCGATAACGTGCAAAACTGTCATTAACAGCAAAGACTGTGGGGGTACAATCTAATTGATAAGACCTCTAGAATAAGCTTAAGATCTGTTGGTTCAATAACAAAGTTATACCAATTTTTTTGTGTGCTAAGTTTTATTAGTTTAAGTTTGGTTCAAGTCAAAAAACACTAAATTCAAAGTGATTATCCATCATGTGAATAATTTAGATGATAGTAGATCCATTTGCCACATCTGAGGAATTGTTGTAGTAATTGTGTTTGTGTGTGTGTCAAAAAAAGTCCCATATTGTCTAAATGAAGAAAGCTCCTAGTGTATAAATACTAAAAAATAAAATAAGCTAGTAAAATGGGCTTGGAAGAGAAATGAACTCACACATATGAAACAGGCCAACTTAAGGCAATTATAGTTGAAAACAACTGATTCACCCTGCATGCGAGTTCAAGAGGCATTGGGTTTCTTTTATCGAATTATTTTTATGAAAAATAATTATTTATTTATATTAGCTTATCGGAAAACTCAATTTTTAGCTATTTGGAGTTTGAATTTAAACCTTAAATGTTTTTTTTGGCTTTGATCGAGTTCTTAAACGAATTAATCAATTTCTTAAACACGTCTGTTCCCCCGACGACTCCAAACAATCGTTTAAATGTGTTTTATGTGTGTATAACTGATGTTTGATGATGGATTAATTCGAAGATTAAGAATCCAACGTTCATGTTTAGAATTTTGGCCTATTATAGGCATACATGCGAACTAAACTAATTTCCTAGCTCTTGAGTTTTCAAGCCTTTCTTTCCTCCTCCGACTTCTGTTCTATGCTACTTTCGTCTGGGTTACACTATTGGTATTTGCCGTTATGCTTCCTTGCATTTTGTAGGACGTGCTTGTTTAATTCTAAAAAACTATCGGTCCGCCGTACGAGTGTGCTAGAATAGTTTTTAAAGACAATGCCTTCCAACACGACTCAAGCAACTTCCAATTTCTTGAACCTGCCGCCAACACAAAGAAATACTATTGAAATATAAGAATAACAAAGAAATACTACAAAATGTGATAATTATTGTGTAATCTCTAAAAACTTGTTTGATATATTTGCTTTTGATAAAATAACAAATTTGCCAATGGTTTAAAACAACATAAAGATACCTATAATTTATTATTAAATTTCAGCCATTTATTTAAGAGAAATTAATATTCTCTATTATTAAATATTCTCTTTGAACTATAATATAAAATCTATTTTTGAGCCCTATTTAGTCTATAAGACAAGATTAAGTAGGTGTTATATATATATATATATATATATATTATATCCTTATTTAATAAAATTTTTTAAAATTAGTCAACTGTTATATTTATTTTACTTAAGACATGATTTTATGACGTGAAAATTTAAAAAAATGAAAACTTTTTCAAGAAGTGAACAAAAAATGCAACCTTCTCTGAAACAAGGCAACCTTGCGTCAGACTATAGACTTGGAAACCATGGTGGAGTGAGCAAAACGTCGATGTTTCTTTTCTTTGCCGTATCGTTCTCTTCCTGTTCCTCCGTCTCGGGGGCTTTGGTTTGGGGAGTTTTAGATAATTTCTGCTTTGATTCCTTCAAATTTATTATTTTCGCCCATGTCTATGCATATTAGCCTGATATAATGCGATTCTTCGACTCTTATCTCCGCATTCGACGTTACAGCAGAACATTGCCTTTCCTCCCTACTTTCATTTAGGTGACTTCCAAAATCGAAATTTGAATTGAGCTACTTTGTGCCGATGCAGACCGTATTACTGGGTGAGTAGAATCATTCAAGTTCTACATAAAAACTAGCTTAGATTGAACTCCTCTTTTCAACATTTTATTCTTGGGGGACGTTGATGCACAATAGCATTTATTACCTGGGGAGGGGATGTGGTGGAGCTCTTTGTGTATAAGGGAAATTAGGGTATGTAGCCGTCATTCCTTTGTCCTTACACTGTGCATGCTTATTTTGGCCACACTAAGAAATTTCATCATGCATCTAATTTGATTACTTGGTTTCGGTTAGATTTAGGAAGGTAAATCTGTCAGTGGTAATCGGCTGCTATTGCTGGTTGTGTCTCAGTTGGCAATGCATTGTATTGATGTGAATGGAATTTTTTTTTTTTTTTAAATGGAAGTTTCGTACTTCAAGCTTACTTTTATCTTGGATTGGAACAAGACATAAGCAGATTATACAATTACATTTAATGAATGCGGTGTGTGATAAAGCTTCTTGTTGCTCTTGATTCTTTTCTTGCTCTTCAGTTATTGTTTGCTTTGTAATGGGGATTTTTTTCCAGGCAAGTTTGGAATGAATGGAATGATGGTCCCAGCAACAAGCAATTCCTGCACCATTAGATTCCCTCGCATTCTCCACAAGGCATTTACATTACCATTTGAAAGGAGAACATGTGGAAAAGGAAATTTAGGGAAATTTTCCACACATGCCTCGCCTATGATTTCTTTGACAGCCGCTCCCATGCCTCAACCACCCTCATCTATGGTATTAGCCTCCCAACTTTCACAATCTGATGTTCCACAACGATCAGAAGAGTGGTTTGCCCTTCGTAAGGACAAGCTGACTACAAGCACCTTCAGTACTGCCTTAGGATTTTGGAGTGGGAATCGTCGTCCTGAGCTGTGGAATGAGAAAGTATTTGCACCAGAGGCACAAATCATGGAACCTTCTCAGAGAGGTGCCATGGATTGGGGTGTGCTGAATGAAGCAGCAGCTATAGATCAGTACAAGAAAATCACAGGTCATGAGGTGAGCTCAATGGGTTTCGCTGTTCATCCGAAAGAGTGCTTTGATTGGCTTGGTGCCTCACCCGACGGTCTTCTTGGTTGCTTCCCAGAAGGTGGGATACTTGAAGTCAAGTGTCCTTACAACAAGGGCAAGCCTGAAACTGCCTTACCATGGTCTGCCATGCCTTTCTATTACATGCCTCAAGTGCAAGGTCAGATGGAAATAATGGATCGTGATTGGGTTGATTTGTATTGTTGGACACCAAACGGAAGCACGATCTTTCGCGTGTGCAGGGAGCGCGAGTATTGGGACTTGATACATGGGATTCTGCGAGAGTTTTGGTGGGAAAATGTGATTCCTGCTAGAGAAGCTGTGCTGTTAGGGAGGGAAGATGAGGCCAAGATATATAAGCCTCAATCTAGACACAAACTGACAGGGTTAGTAATTTCTAAAAGCATCAAGTTAGCTGGTGCAGCAAAGCTGTTGTGCAGGGAGATTGCAGGTCATGTTGAATTCTATAAGTGACTAGAGGCACAAGCAACAAGGTCAAGCAACTGCCTTGACGGTCTGATCCTTATATTTGTTAATCCATTGTTTTCATGTATTCTTTAATTGCTTCTTTAATGCTAATCCCTTTGAATCAAGAGATTTTTTGATTGGTTGGCATTACAGGAAGATTTAATATATTAGCTTAATTTCGTACACGGACGTCTATATCATTTTTATACCAGCAGTAGCAGTACCATCCAATTTATCTCAAGCAAGGGTTATTATTCTCTCAGCCTCGTGGTTTAGGTTTGTTAATCAAGTGAATTTTCACGGACAATTTCATGAGATGTATTCGTGAACCACTTCAACGAACAGCTGAAAAAAGTTAAAGCGCGAAGTTTTCTTTCATGTTAAAAACTGGACTTCAGAGGAAGTTCAATATATATATATATATATATATATGTTGAGAAAAACTCGTGTAAAATGATATAGCGGTTTACGATTGAAGTTTATCTTTGAAGAACAACATGCCTTGCTTGCCAAGTCTATAGGATGCAGATGTTTGAGGGGAGATAACTCTCATGCCAATGTCAGATATATCAGTCCTAACAAAAAATTTTCAGAAAAATTTGGAAGAACAGGGACTGTTGTGACTGTTATGGTAGATTTCAGCAACTAAAAGGTTGATTCATTTCCTCATTTCACTTGAAAATTGCACTCTTCAACAAATCTGTCAGTGACATGCATATGATTCCATAACTGCTAAAAAAAAAAAAATTATAATATCTTGGTATGCCTGAAAAAATCTCCTTAAAGATGAGTCAAATGAAGCCATGAATTTGTCAATTCAATTCGTAAAAATATCATTCAAGAACCACTAAGGGTATTTAATACAAATTAATAATTAAAAAATTTTAAAATATCATTATATATAGGATTAGGGGACTGATTTGAAAATAATTTTAGAAGAGAAAAGATTATATGATATCTTTACCTTTCTTTCTTTTAATTGACAAGTAAATATTTGTAAATTAATAAGTACTAATTTACATTTAATAAGAAGTCATTCGCTAATTAATAAATTTAAAAATATAAAAGAACATGATTGTGGGAAGAAATAATTATAGATCATGTTTGAATAAATAACCATTCATTAATTAACAAGTATCCATTCACATTTAACAAGAAATCATTCATTAATTGACAAGTTTAATAATTAAAAAAAACTTGGTAATGAAAAAGGACAAATATAGATCATGAATAAGTAACCAATTATTAATTAAAAGTACCCATTCACATTTAATAAAAAGCTATTTGTTAATCAATAAGTTTAAGGATTTGAAAGAATTTGATCATGAGAATGGACAAGTGTAAATCATATTTCAACAAGTAATCATTCATTAATTAACAAGTACTCATTCACAATTAATAAGAAACTAGTCACTAGTTGACAAGTTAAAAGAGAAAAAAAGCAAAGCAAATGTATTAGTGTCTTTTTTTTATCTAAAATTATTTTTAAATCAATCCCCTGATCCTCCAATAATATTTTAGAATTTCTTAGTTCTTGTTTGATATTAAATTACTTTCATCATCCTTGAATGACATTTTTCCATTCAATTTTCTTTGGATCTGCCTCTAATGTTTTTATTCTAAAACAACAATACAGCCAAGGAAATTCACATGGGTTGTTTCAAAAGGACATTGATTCATCTTGGCCAACAATGCATGTCCTCTCAATGATTGTGAGAGTAAGCCTTGAATGCTTTAAATGATCCTTCTAGAATTTTTTTTATTATTCATAAGTATCTCCTTATTAGAGATAATGATTGAATATTAAATGTGAGCACATCTCTTGGCAGAACTTTGGTTTAACTCCATCTGCTAGATCTAACCCCTATTAGTCATTCTAGAATTTTTTATTCACCAATAGGTCATAAAAAATGCCAAAGTAAAACTTCTAAAACTTTTTAAAGCAACATTCATCAGGTCTAGAACCAAAATGGTGCGAGTTACACTAGAGAAGAGCAAGAAAACATAGAAGCATAAGAACAGAAATATTCAAGTCATCAAATGCAAAAAGAACACAAGCCCTTCTCCTATTTTTAACCATAGTAATAGCAATTATACATAAGTTTAGGTTGTTATTCTTAACTCACTTCCACTTCCCATTCTTTTTCCAAACCCACACACAAAAATGATTCTGAAAAAATCCAAAGTAAGTGCAACCATGCATGGAATACTGAGTTCACTCATTAGCAAATCAAAAAGTATCCCCCTTGCTATTCATTCTGGATTATTCCTTCAAAAGACTGAGCTCCTATTCTTCAGTTCTACCACTCAATTTCCAGCCACAAATCAACACGAGGATATTATAGCACCAATGGGAGCTTTCAGAACTGCATTCCATTGGCAAACTCCTTGATGGGTTTGGTTTTCCATGCCAAGATAGAAGACAGAGACATGATGTAAAACTATACTCACTCCTCAACCCATCTTTTCCACGAATGTTTCGACCACCGTGCAGCCATTGATTATTTTTGTTGTTGCAATAATCAAATCATATGCCATTCCTTCCTGCAAGGCAATCCAAACTAAGAAATTAGAAGATAAAAATCCAAAATTTCTGGAAAAAGTTTTCTGATGAATGAGGATGAAGATGAATATATGGATTTGTTACAAGAGATGATTGGTTAATACACACACACACACACATATGAAATTCTGCAATTTTTCCAGGAAGATGAGATGATGATGATTGCTTGATCTGAATCTGGCATATTGATTTTAGGAGGGAGAAGAAAAATGACGAAGGAGAAGAACGAGATGAAGGGCATCAATGTCTTTTACTATTATATTTATAAATATCAAATAAAAATTATATCAACATATTACTGACATACCAAACATGTTTTTAAAATTTGTTCCCATTCCTATTTTCGTTCCCATTTTCTTTAACTTTATTCTTGCATACCAAACATGACCTAAAACTATACCAATTTACATACCTGGGCACTAAGAAACCGAAGTGCAGAAATCTCTGCAAAGGTAACCCCTCCAACAAAGACGACAAGCACCAGTGAACGCCTTCCATCAGTTATTCTGAAAAATATGGAAAGTGTCATAACACAAGCGAACAATATTTATTGGTTTCTTCAAGAATGAAAAAAATCAGCAATTACATGAACACCTAGAGAAAATGGAAACGCAACACTATTCATTTAATCACTCCATCATACATCTCCATCATCCCATATTTATAGGCTACTACAGATGCAAGTCATCTGACAGAATTCTTGATATTGTTAATTCTTAATAATTTCTGCAAACAACTAACTAATCCCAAAGAACAAACCCACTAACACCTTTGCTGCTGTAAATCCACCAGTTTTAAATGTTACATTATTCAAGTAGCTAAACACGAATGTCTACAAATCAATTAGACACCTTGAAGCCTTTCCTGCTTCAAGGAATTTTCTCAAGGCACCTAGCCTCATCTAAGGTGATAAGTTTGCTCCACAAGTGATTGACAATGAATGAAATACAATGAGAATAGCAGCAAATGTGTGAAATTGTCTGCTGCTAAATATTAAACTGCAATGATTTGACATAGATCCTGACTTCAGATATAAAAAATAAGTTTCCAGGAATTTATATTTTTCTGAAAATAAGAAGTAGCTCTTCTGCTATGGCGAAAAGAAGAGAGGATGCCAAATCCTAGAAATCTAGCACCAGTGGATTACATACTTAGTTGTGTTGGTTGAAGCACCAGACAAAGCGTCAAATGATGGGCTATTTGAGAATCCACCCTGCATGAATAGGAAGAAAATGCAAAACTTCAGAGTTTACAAGGAAGGGTAGGGAAGATAGAATTGGCATAACTTGAAATATTCAGTATGAGAACTTAAAAATGAAATAAAATTGTATGTCCAGCACAAGCAGGCACTTGATAGTTATATCATTATGCAAGATTTTAAGTAGGAAAACTGATCACACACTGACCCTCTTGGTTTCCAAATGAGGTCCAGGAAGCAGCTTCAGAATTTCTTCAACAGGACGCCTAAAATATCAAATTTATTTGCAAAGAGAATGTCAACGGACTACAAAGTTTGTGTTCATCAACCAAAGACCTTTCTGAAAATTCAATGCAACCACTAAACTAACCAATACATCATTTGAAGCAAAAACATGGCATTGCATGCCATGATGTGTAAACTTTAGTACAAATAAAAGCTAAAAAAGTATCACATGACAAAACTATTTATGATCTAAGAAGTAGCTTCTAAATTTTGAGTTACCTGCAGAAAAAGACCATTAGTAGTAAGCATAATCGGCTGAGTAGAAATTTGAGTTCTAGAAATTTGAGTTCACCCACTACAAGGAGCAATGCATGCCAATTCTATCATTAATAATTGTATCACTTTGGATTCCATTATTTCAACATAATGCATAGCGTGGACAATAAATAGCATTTAATATCACACCAAGGAAGGTCATTACTGGTGTACATGCGATCATGTGTCAGGGCCTAAGGTATTATTACAACAGATCAGAGGTGTACAATTTGAATTATACTTGATGGTCCGTACTGATTCATTTTTGCCTATGCTATCTAACAGTTAAGCACCTATACTAAGCCAAGCTCAACAATTAGGATGGTAAGTTGAATTTTACAGTGCCTATAATTCAAACTTGTCTTGTATTTGAGGGTAAACAATGATTTAGTACAGTAATTGTCCTACTAAAAAGTAATTTGGAAGACATTTTTCATCAAGGATTCAAATTTACCATCCAGATCGTATGGCATGCTGGATCAGACGAATACTAAGTGGTGCATATCCAGAGAACACATAAGCAATGTCGTTGGGGCTGTCATATTAAGATATCATTTGCAGTGTTAGTAGGGAAAAAGTAACAGAATAAACATGTAAATAATTGCAGTGCAAAAATAGTCCATATATCTGTTGTAAGAAACTATGAGTGCAACTTCCTATAAAGCATGCAATACAGTTTTTTCTTCCAATAGAAGAGAAGCCAAGACAAATTTAAGACCCAAAAGTGAAAACAGCATCCTTAATTGCAACTACAATGCAAATCAACACAGAAACACAATCAGTTGTTCTATTGACCGACCAAAAAGACATCAATGAATGAAAATGCCAGAGCTACAAAGATCATATGGTATAAATGATTACAGTTAAACACAAGAACAAAGGCACTTGACACAAGCATCAAACTAACAATAATCAAGTAAAGGTAATGCTGCAACAACAGTCAGTTCTACTAAAAGAGCAAAAAGACATTAATAAATGAAAATGTCGAAGCTACAAAGGTCATATAGTATAAATGATAATGGTTAAATGCAAGAAAAAGGCACTTGAGACATGTACATCAATCTAACAATAGTCAAGTTAAGGTAATGCTGCAACAACAATTAACTTGAAAAGAAAAATTGGACAAAGGAAGGGGGAATCGCTGTGGTAAATGATGACAAGGATTTAGAAAGAATTAGACCTTGACAGAAGACTGTCAGAGGTCAAATTCAACAATTTCATTTAACAGGCTTCTGAAAAGGGTTGCCAAACTATGGGCAAACTAAGTCAGAAAGCAATATACTTTTGCCAGTCTCCATGGAAAGCATTGAACAAATTGTTCATTATGGAAAAGGTTCACCATGCTACAGTTCTACTGCATATCCATGGTAATGTTGACCAGTAACCCAGATCATAGTCACAACTCATGAACTAAATACAAGACAACAAAGAGGCAAGGGAATTTTACTTTGCTGTGTCAGTGTCATCAACTACCAGTTGCAGAGCACGTTTTACGGTAAGCCAGTTACTTTTTGACTCCTGAAAGGATCATATGAAAAATGAGAGACAAAAAATGTAAGCACTTAAATTATTCGAGCTTGCAAATAACTCACGTATCATACCTGCTTCTTTAGCAGTCCAGATTTTTCTAAATTATTTAGTGTTGCCATGTGCTCAAACCCATAACTGTGGAGTAGTTCTCTCCTAAATTGGAAGCACAAAATATATAGATATCTTTAAGTCCTCCACAAGAGAAAAAAAATGCTAAAAAATGGAAAATGGGGGTTAATATCGTAGGAAGAATTACATTGAGTCCCACACAAGAAAATTGATTACTACAAGGTCCATTGACAATGGCTTAGTTTAGTTGTCAATGGACCTTGTATAATTAATTTTCTTGTGTGGGACATCAATGTAATTCTTCCTCAATCTTATAAGTTAAGAGAGCCCTGAGATCAACTGTGTCACCAAATAGAAACAGAAAAAGAAGAAGAAGAAGAAGAAGAAAGAAAAGAAGAGAAAAAGGACAAATGCCATATTAAGCATAAGACTCTTGCCTCAAGTAGTCAAAATGCTTCTTTGGCAACCCTGAATTAGTAATAGAGAATAATATAAGAAGGCGAAGGACAGTTGTAAGTGGCTCCTGCTTCTGGATCATCTCCTCAATGTACTCAAAGCATCTGCATGTATGAATTGAACAGCATAAGTTTCAATCTTTAAGTCATGTAAGTGCAGCATCCTATATATCATCTCACATCAAAAGCCGCAAGACACCAATCCCTGATGAGAAAAAAATAGAAAAGACAATTTTTCCAATACAAAAATTGATGTATCCAGATCTATTTTCATATAATTCAAAATCCAGCCAACACGCCATAAGACATAAAGTAAGCAACAAAAATCTATAAATCCATAAGGTCAACGATTGCAACTAAATCTATAAAGCAAGCAACATAAAGTGAGATCAAATCAAGTTGCTCTCAACTTACATTGGAATAATTGTAAAACTACTCACATTTCGTAACTTTGGGACTCGATAATTGTATGTTCCATATCAAGCTGCCCAAGAAATGATGGCTTTGATGTGAATTTTGACAAATGCTGTGCCAGATTTATGTGTCTCTGGAACAATAATTTAATGCATATTATTATTTTAAATTTACTAGGAGAATCCTGTAGATGAATGTCAAGATCAAAAATTAAAAAAAAAAAAATCTTACGGTCATTTCTGGCAATGAGTTCAGTTTTTTCACAAAATCCTTCAATTCAGAAACTGTCTGTGTCTGGACAGGATGGAAAGTAATACATCAGAAACCATTTGTAGATACACTTAACTCTTCCTAAACTGAAAAAGAAAACTTGTATTATTACTGCAGGTAAGGCAAATGCACCATCATGCAGAAATCCTGGATTCTTAAGGTTTTCATTTATCAGGCATGCAATGAACAACTCCTATTAGGTAATGAAAAGGAATAAAGGAACAATTTTATTTGACAAGCTGACACCCCCGGACGAAGGAGGAACAAGATAAAACAGGATTTCAGGAAAATCACTAGGAATGCTTGTGAAAAAATGATTCAGAAAAGAAAAAAATCATATATGCAAAGTGTACACAGAAAAATCAGAGTCCAAATGTAAACCATCTACATACAGTAGTTGTCATCTCTGTGTAGTCCTGCTTCATGGATGTAGCTTTTTGACGCAAAATCTGCAATAATACTACAAACAGCTACTAAGAAAATAGGGCTCCAAGAAATCCAATCATCATATTTCTAATAACCTTTCCACAAACTCTTGAGTGCACGCAAGTGCATGTGTGTGTGAGAGAGATTATTAACAGATAAAAAAGAAAATGTTTAATGAATCAAAAGGTGATAAAAATGAAGTGACCTGCACAACAACTTCAAAGTTGAGATCCCGTATCTCCTTAAAAAGCTTGTCACTAACATTACAACCAAGCAAGTGAATGTGAACCAATAAATAAGCAGAAGGAAATAAACTACATTTAAACAAAAAGAAATAAAGAAACAGCATTTCAACAGTAGGAAAAAACTGATAATGTTGTTGGAAGCATAAGGAACCACAAACGTTCATTTTCACCAACTCTTATGGAAAATTTTGAGACTTTTGCAAGAGGCTCCATCCATACCCTAAATTTTGATTATGTGCAAAGTGACCAATAAAATTGTTGATAAAATAAGTCATGGGCCTTTAGTCAATAGGCTAACAGCAGAAACTTTTTTGTTGGGCTGTTCCTTGACACTGACAATAAGCAAGGTACCAGTCTTACAGGAGTTTCCAACTAACTTCACATGATTGTTCAAAGAACAAAAATTTCCTAGTACAATGTATCAACTAAAAATCATAAAAAGAAACAAAAAATGACTGATCTAATTAGAAAGAAAAAGGACAAACAGGAAGCCATCTAAGTTTTGAAAATATTTTACTGATGTTTATAATAGAATGGAAAAAATAGTAGCCCTCATTTCCCTTTGCTCAAGTTACCTTCTGAGAAACACACGCATGCATATGCAGGTGTGTGCATGACAATGTATGTGTGTGCAGGAGTGTATTTTGTTTGCGTGCATATCACACACATTGACACACTGTTGCAACAAGATCAACAAACATGCTGAACAAGTTAGAAAACAAAATTATGATATCGATACAAGTAGATTTATAAAATGAGAGAATATATGAGTAGTAGGCTTTAAGTTATAAACTTCAAAATCTATGAGAAAACATGAAATAAACTATAAAATTAATTTCACAATAAATGAAAAACTTATTTGCATCACTGACAAAAAATGAACAAGTGAAGCAAATAACTTGCCTTGAATTAAGAGGAACTTTCATCTTTTTTCCTTCCTGTTGACCCATAATGGATGAATCAAGCTCCACAGCACCATTGTTGATGTGCAGAAACTACGATGATAAAAAATTCCATTAAGCCTCCACAAAAATTCGATCCTTTTTTATTTGTGCATCATTGCATATTTGACTTCATTACAAATGCAAACTCAAATTTTAAATAGGATCGGCAGTCAGCACAAAGCCTATGGTGAATTGATAATTTCTTGCCAAAAAAATCATGAACACATAAACTTTCTTTACATGTACACACACGCACGCACATAAAGACCAAACTTGTTTAAAGAAAACTCTAAGAGAAAGGCCCTATCAGATGACAAAACAAAAAAATCTTTTGTGAAATAGTTGCTCATTTAAAAAGACGTCTTTTTATCCAAAAAAAAAAAGACGTTGTCTGATTCGCATTAACTTGCCTCATCAAGAAGCCCCTCGTATGTTAACTGAGAACACAAAGGAGTAACCATGTCCACCTGCATCAAAAAGTAATCAATTTCAACAATCTGACCACCGTTTATGCAAACATCAATTGTATCTGGAATAGCAAGAACTTTGAAGGAGACATAAAATTATGTTACAGAAAATAAACACAAAGCAATATATATATATATATATAGAAGCAATAATTTATTCAATTTTCAAAATGCAGAGGCAACAATTTGTTCAAATTTCAATACAGAAACTTGAATTAATTACTCACTTTATGAACAAATTTACTGCAATGTAAACATTTTAGAAAGTCAACAAAGACATCACAAAGAAAGAGAACTTCAACCAAAAATAAGTGAATCAAATTACAATTCAAATGACATGTTTAATTAAAAAAACAAAATTAATGAAAAACTAACATCAAGTGAACAAAAGCATAATCAAATCATCTCAACGTTATATGCGTTAAATTTTAGGCGTTCAGTAGGCTGACTGCAGATTGCATACTTACATACATTTCATTCTCCTTTGGCCTTTTCAATAATTCTTTTACTAAAGGGAGAAAGAGCGAGAGCCTTTACAAATGAAAATATATCATCAATTTTTATCACTACTTCCTATCCATAACCATTCAAACTTAGTATCACCGTTGCCACACTCATTGCAAATATATGCGTGTGTATTAAAATTTAATACAAACAAAAATTCTTTGGAGAAATCACTATGGATGCCTCTAAAAAACTTTTGGTCTAATGAACAAAGGAAAGATTATTAGGAAAAATATTATTAATTACTTGCAAATTAGGAATTAAAGATAAATATAGGAAATAGCATTTTAATCAAGATTATATCAGAAATTAATATTGAAATTACTTTGTTTTATTGAAGACTTATTGAATTTTCAGACTAATTATCACTCATTTTTTTCTCTCCCAACTTCCTTGTTCCACCTTTTCATTATTACCCTATATCATTTTGGTATCAAATGCAAGTTACCATTATCCTAGTCACATTTCAGCTGTTGGAACTCCCCATAATTTTGTCAAATTTAACCCTTTTTTACCCTGTGCTCACCCAATTCAACATTAAATGCAAATAATCATCAGTTGACAGTAGTTTGGGGATCTTTCTATTGAGTTTAGCTTTTGAAATTGCTACAAATTCACCTAAAGAACCTTGAGGGAGGGCATGAATTTGACAGAAAATACTGACCACTGTTTTGAAGAAATCCTGAGAGGCATTAATCTACTAAGTAGTCAAATAACAGGTAAATACTTGCAAGAGCTAAAGGCAGAAGAAGAATGTCTTCATGATCTTGATACAATAGGAGAAGGTAACTCTAAAGAGCCAATTTGATGATCGCGGAACCCTTGACTATCTATCAGGCATCGACAATGATGCTAACACCATAGGTTTTTGAAGAGCAGTTGAAAGTATATTTGGGAGTGAAGTTCATGACAGTTCTGAACAATAGTCAGAAGTTAAACCTCAAGTTGCAGAATGCCATGTCCAAATCCAACTAAGTAAACTGCTATATCCTGCCAGGTTAGCTATCTCAAATGTATTGGAGAGCCCAATGTTGGTTTGGCTCTCATATTTGAAGCAGCATCAACTGTCCTACCAAAATCTCTAGGATGGATTATTCCACTACTTCCACTCTTAAAAAATTGAGATTGAGTTTTCTCCAAGCAAAGGAGAATGATGGAGAATGGAAAGAGATTACAAAATTATTTTTTTATTATTTGTAAATCAAGAATTAAAGATAATTTGTAAGTAATAGGATTTAAATTAAGATTAGACTGGAAATAATAATTTAAATTTCTTTGTTTTTCTTTAAATTATGTTATATTTTTAAGTTATTAAGAGTGATTGGGTTCTATCCATAATCCTTACCAGTTTCTATCCCAACTTCTCTGTTTTTCATTCCCAAATTCCTCCCTTCCCCTTTCAATGCTTTTCTACATCATTTTGGCATGTCACTCTCTGTCCAATATTATGTTCAGGGTTCATTATCCCAATATACGTCAGAATTTCAACAGGCAATCATGTTGTATGTAGGAGAAGCTACAAAATGGACTACCATGCACAAACATAATTTAACTTACCAAATGCCATATGAATATCAAAAAGATGATGTGGTGAAAAAAGGCTTACCTCCCTATCTAAAAGGATAAGAGTATTTATCTCTGGCACAAGCATCTGTGCAAACAATAAGCAAATGAATAGTTATAGGAAGCATTTTCATTAAATAAGATCTCATAACTTTGTTATGCTCATTATCTTCCATGCTGAGTAGTTTGAAGAGAAGCAGAGTAATAAAAATTACATCAGGTGAGCTAACTGGCTCCTCAGATTGCATGCGGTTTAGAATGTCAGCCACACGGACAGATGCTTTCCCTTTTGCCCTCACATTTGGTATCAATCCAAAGGAAAACTGTAACATATAGTGAAAGCATCACAGATATGAAAATATTAATGTCATTTCATATATGTGATGATATTCGTAAAAAGGAAATTCTATTGATATATCCCCACTAATGATTCTAAAGTTCCACTGTTATGTAAATCTATGTGAATACTAAGTAAACTAAAACCTCAAGTTTGTGAATAGCTTTTGCAATATGCCAAAGCGAGCTTGTATCACCATCTACCAGGCATTCCTACCACAAAGAGATGGCAAAATAGGATAAGCCATTAGTCAAGAGAAATAACAAGTACAAAATCAAAGACACGAGTCTCAATAAATATACGCAGATACAGTATCATCCACCATACTTTGTAAGCAAGATCCAGTTCAAACGAGAGTAAATCATCATCCATTGGTACAAGATACAAGGGATATTCCCCTATTGACATCATATGATGCACTTTCTCTTCCTCAAGAACCTGCAAGACAAAAATGATGAATTATTGTATGCATAAAGAATTGTCAATAAAAGGACTTAGATTAAAGAGCATGGATAAATTTCCCAAGAACTTACTTTCTCACAAACAACAGTGCGACGAGGGACAAAATAAACATGATGCTCTCTTTGCAGTCCTTTTGACATGTCATTGTTAACATTTGAACATATAAATCTCATCAAATTAGGCTGAGAGCGCACAAGGTAAACTATTTTGGTGCAGTCAGTTTGAATTGGCTCAGCTGAAAGATGTCGCAATTCAGCCCCAAGCTCCTGTTTAAAGAGCTAAATGTGACCTCTCTCTATCATCAGAAATTAACTGATTGTTGGCCCAAAAAAAAAAAAAAGAACTCAAGGAAGGAGTAGTTTTAGGAAAAGTGCCTTCAGAATTGATGTCTGTATAATCAGGGAGAGAGAGCCACCGAGCTTCGGATCTATGACCAAGCACTTTTTCCCTCTTATCTGCGAGCACTCAAGTTCAATACAGCAAACATTCGTATTGTCAAAATTTAGTATCGTTACTATATGCAAGAAATAAAATTAAACAGCATGCTTGAACATGAAGTTACAGTGCAGAACGGAACTAGAGTTCCTTAGTTACATTTTCTTATGCTATGGTAAGCAAGCTGAAATAAAACTTTTCTTTTTCCATAGGTCAGATTTCCATTTTTGGGAAACGAACAAATGGCGAGGATTAAAAACAAAACACTTACATTCTTAAGGATATTGATGAGCTCCTTTTGAGATTGTTCCCTGAATTAAACAAGAAGGGAGAGACGAAGACATCATTAACTTTGAAGACTTGACGTTAATGACGATTGCAGAGCATTGGTTTTTACCTAACGGATGTGAGATTGACAGGGCATTGTCGAGGTTAGGAATTTGAGCCATTGAGAACGATAATTATCAGCCAAACCAAGGAATATCGTTGGAACTTGTGTTGTCAGCAAAGCGGAAATTCGAAGAATTAGGGATGATTCAGGTCTGCAAGTCCATAACCACGCACGATACTGGCCTCATGATTCTTGGAATAAACTCACCAGAAGACGCTGAGTCTTCAAGGAAAGGAAAGTTTGCAGTGAGATCAGTTTAGAAAACGCAGTAGTAGACTGACTTCTCAAGTTTTATTTCGGACAAGGCAGGAGCTTCTCAAAATAAACGCAGGAATTCGCAGGGGATATCAGCTGTGGTATTAAATTAATTACTGGGAAAATTTGATATGACTATAAAATATAATAAAATAATCAAAAGATTAATTTGAAATTATTTTTAAAATAAAATAATCAAAATGCCCTTTATTTATTTTAAAAAAACCACTAGCCACCATCAACAGAGCATTATGGTCGATGATCGAAGCCTTACCAGTGACAGCAGCTATTAGACTTCTATTGCTGAAGCTCTGGCCTCCAGTTGGACACCATTAGCACTGGCTAGAAATTATCGAGAATTAAGTTCTCTAAAGGTAACCAATGCGACATTTGAAAAAAAAATAATAAGAATCCCATTGAACCTATTCAATTATATAATACATAAAATTATATATATAATAAACTTTACTTCCAAACCAATTGATTATTACATTACTTGCTAATGGCATAACTTTTTTTATTCATACCTTAATAGAACTTGTTAATTACTTAATTTTTTTGGTAAGTTTATAACTCTCATAACAAAACTACATTACTTATTAATTCCTTAAAGGAACTTATTAATTATTTGACTTTACTAGTTAAATCCGTGACTCTCACAATAGAACGACATTACTTATTAATCGTGTAACTTTACTTCTTAAATTTTTAACAAAACTTGTTAATTACTTAACTTCACTTGTTAAATTTGTGACTCCCTCAATTAAACTACATTACTTATTAATCACGTAACTTTACTTGTTAAATTCATGACTCCCTCAAAATTATATTTGTAATAAATTTGATTTTTCAAACCTCTTAATTATTACGATAGAGTGAACTTGTTGAAAGTCTAATATAGCTTGTCATTTCAATTTTACTTGTTAGTATTATATTTGTTTTTTTTTGGAATACTGTGCACTCTCTCTCTCTCTCTCTCTCTCTCTATATATATATATGTATATATGTATGTATATATAGTTGAGTATCTAGTTTGCTAATATTGATAAGGGAGACCCCATTATCATCACTTTTATTATTTGATAAATTTAATTTTTTTTATGTAAATTATATGTTCATTTAACAAGTGACAATAGGCACTTAATAAGTATTGTTGATAAATTAACAAATGAAATTACACAATTAACAAAGAATTTAATTGCTTGTCGAAACAACGGTTAAACAAGTCTTGTTATAGTATTAACAAGTCAAGCTATACAACTAATAAGTATTATTGCAGAATTAACAAGAAAAATTATGCGATTAACAAGCAATATAATTCAATTGAGGGAGTAATGGACTTAATAAGTAAAATCAAGTAATTAACAAGTCTTGTTGGAAAATTAATAAGTAAAGTTACGCGATTAACAAATAATCAGTTTAGTTGTAGGAGTTATGAATTTAACAAATAAAGTTAATAATTAGCAAGTCCTATTGAGAAATTAACAAGTAAAATTATGTGATTAACAAGTAATGTAATTTTATTCTAGGAGTGACAGACTTAACAAGTAAAGTTAAGTAGTTAACAAATTCTTTTAAAGAATTAACAAGTAAAGTTATGCAATTAATAAGTAATGTAGTCTTATTTGTGGAAGTATGGATTTAACAAAGAAAGTTAAGTAATTAACAAGTCCTTTTAAAGAATTAACAAGTAAGATTACATAATTAATAGGTAACGTTGTTCTGTTATGGGAGCCACGAACTTAACAAATAAAGTTAAGTAATTAATAAGTTTCTTTAAAAAATTAACAAGTAAAGTTACACGATTAACAAGTAATATAGTTATATTGTGACAGTCACAGACTTAACAAGAAAACTTAAATAATTAATAAGTCTCTTCAAAAAATTAACAAGTAATATAGTTTTATTGTGGAAGTCACAAACTTTACAAGAAAAATTAAGTAATTAACAAGTTATACTAAGATATTAACAAGTAAAATTATGCAATTAATAAGTAATGTAATTCGATTGTGGGAGTCACGAACTTAATAAGAAAAGTTAAATAATTAACAAATTCTGTTAAAGTATTAACAAGTAAAATTACGCAATTAACAAGTAATATAATTTTATTGTGGAGTCATGAACTTAACAAAAAAAATTAAGTAATTAACAAGTCTTGTAAAAATATTAATAAATAAAATTACACAATTAACAAGTAATATGATAATTAAGTGGTTTCGAAATAAAGTTTATTTTATATATATATATATAATATGTATGTATAATTTTATACATTATATGATTGAATAGGTTTAATAACTAGGTGATTTTTATCATTTTGGTAAGTCAAGGGGTCATGGGTTCAAACTCACCCTTGGCCACCTTTAGATAACTTAATTTTCTATAATTCTTTAGCCATCATCGGTAGTGGCTTATGTAATGTTCTCTGTATTACTTCAGTACTTAGCCAAAACCTCTATGATAATTATGAATTAAACCAAATCATTACCAAACCATAGTTATACTTTAACTAGTTATTAAAATACTAACCATAGTATAAAAGAAAAGAAAAATCAAGGGTCTATTATAGTTAAAATGTTTAAAAACAAGTATTAGAATATTCACTTCACAATCCAACAATAACTTCATTTAAAAATATAAACCTTTTAAAGTTGGGATCCTATGTTTAATGACTTAAACTTTGAAATCAAATATAAACTAATTTAAAATAGAGAAAAAATATATATGAAAATCATACAAGGTAAGATAACAAATCAAGGTAGAGTTAAAAGAGTTGAAAACAGCAATTCTGGAACAATATACTGTGACATAAAATTTTATGTTATCTGATAAGCACCATTTTTGTGTCCAATGTCCAATTAAAGTGATTTACATATCTACAAAAAGCTTTCTTTGAACTCTAGCTAATGGCATTGGTTTCATATTTAAATCATTTATCAATCAAAAGTTGAACATCAAAATGCAAACTCCCTCATTTTTTATTTCAAAATATAACTAGGGTGTCCAAAATCACAACCAAGTTTCATAAGTTCACAACCACTTTTAGAACATACTCAATAGACTCAAAAAGACCTATACAACACACACAATACTCCAATAACATGTACAACATGTCTTTAATACTTAGCTCATTAATCTCAAAAGTAACAGTGGGAGTCTCAATCATATAATTCCACATTTAATTCATCATCATTTACAAATATACTCACTTCTTACTTGCACTAATATTTTGACTTTATTTAGATTTCATATTTAATTCACATACAATCCAAAGTCCAAAATACACAATTAACTCAAGCATTCAATAGTGCAAGTAGATCGAACATGTGACTCCTTATTGGCAACATTATTTAATATTATACACATAATACACAAAATAAATGAGGGTTATAAGTTAGGATAAGAAATTCTATGCCTCAAGCAATTTCCCTCTATCTTGAATTAGTGAGGTAGCACATGTAATATTGAAGAGAGGAGGTGAGTACAATAACTCAATAATTAAAGTACATCAAGCCTATGCTAATTCATGTTAATTAATTAAAATGCAAGTGATATATATAACTTTTACATGTGCATTTAACTCAAGGACCAATACACAATTACATCATCAATCAAAAGATTTCACATCAATCCTAACTAAGGTCACAATATTAACAACCATATGCCCTTAATGATAAATGTATGATCACACTTTCCTTATAACCTATTCATGTCTCCAACATGAAACCGTGCACTATTATACAATGGGCTCATCTATGTGATAAAACTACCCTAGCCTTACACATGTGAGAAGCTACTCAACCAAAGTTACTTGACTACTTATGATTCACAATTTTTCCCAAATCTCACACTATGAGGTGTTATTTTCTAAACTAACTTCCTTGTCAAACAAGTGAAAAATTAGTTAGGTTCAAGTTTTCATATAACAAGTGGGATAGTCCCTCATAAAATAAGTGAAAGAATATAAATATAATCAAGGCAAGATATCAAGCTCTGAATGGCGATCATACCATGTGAGTTTAGATTTTTTACTCCTCTCCCTCATCAATCTCCCACCTCACATGATTATGCCATGCACAAATGCGCAAAACATAACATGCATATAAATCATCATAATTAGCATATAATTTATCATCATCATTTTCATCATAACACAATCATCGCATGCTTCTCGCATCATAAATTAACACTTAACTCCATATTCACTTACAATTTTCTTTACATAACTCCACATAACTCATCAATTTACCATTATCTCACACTACTCATTTGAGACATGAAACAAGTACAAGTTTTGCTTAAATTAGTCTATATCACAACAATCATTCCATTTGTAAGTTTATGCACATTTATTTTCAATATCTCATAAATCATAATATATGATTGTTAAATATTTTTTGCCACACTTAAAAAAAACATATTCACATATCTCGACAATAGTTTATAAAAACTAAGTAAATAATTAGCACATAAAGGTAAAAGTAAGATTTTCCTTAGTTACTTCAAACATTTAAGAGTCAAAGGTTTGCTTATCAATGAAAGTACTTTAAAAAATATACCAAAGCTTGAGTGATGTATAAGATGATTAATCTATAATTAATCATATCAATCATCATCAATCTCTTCATAAACACTCTTTCAAATTTCATCAATCAACACTTTAATTACCCAAAATTCTAATATCTTGCATTTAAGCATAATTATTAAGTTTATTGACTCTCATTAACTCCATTTATTTTTTATTGATTTAAATAATCACCAATATAATACCTCACAATCCAAAATCACATTTTAAAAGTATGAGATTCGTCCAAAATGGATGACCTAAGTTCACAACTTTATAAAAACTTCTAAACTATGTGTAAAATACTTAAACAACTCCCATTAGTCCATTTAGACTACTAGGTTTGGACCCATAGCCTTAATTTTGAAAATCCTCATCTCCTAACCTTAAATCTTACTTCCACATCATGCAAAAAGAAGAAGAGATAATGAAGGTATACCTAGGTGAAATCAAGCTTCAATTATCTCTAAAATATCCAAAAGTAGATGTTCTAATAGGAAAAATATTCTCTCTATC